TAACTTTATTAATCACATAGTTTTAGAGCTATTATAAAAATAAATTTTTGGATTAGTTGCCCTTAAAACTATGACTATTACAACCCGACTGTCTTTGGAAAGAGGTTTATTCAATGTGGATAAAGTATGGGCGCCTTCCTCTTATTATATCTGATATGTTTAAAGTCTAAAGTAGTTGAAATATATGGAGACTATAGTTAAGGGATTGAGGAATTATATTATTGTTAAGATATTCAACTATTTATCTAACTTAAATTGGAAATCTTTCATAACTTATAGTTTAACTAAGGACACACCTTTTCTCCAACTTGCTTTCACTGGGCCACATATTAAACATCATTTTACCCATATCCCTTCCTTCACTTAAACAGTCAATCCAATCTGGGACAGAACTTCTATGAGGTCTTCTGTCTTCATAAAGCCTGTACAATTACTAGTATTATATGCTACTGCAAAAGAATACCGAAAATATACATTAAACTTTACAGCTCATTTAATTTATCAGCAGATCTGTTTTATTCCAATGAAACAGGATCTATTTTTAACTTCTACACGAGAACAATAAAATTCATACTGTAATTTTTTTTCATGTTTTACTGACAATAGATTAACGTAAAAAACACAAAATGTTCACTTTTGGTGAAAATAGTTTATTTTCTCTTTTCAGTGCAACACAAAATTTTACTTAAATATATACAAATGCTTCAACAAAAAAAATAAATAATCAAGCAGACAATTTAATTACTCGCTTTAAAAATTGATCCTTGAGAGGATCAAACTCAATATTCAAGATTGTCTATAGTCTATACACTGTGTTTGCTCTGCTCCTATTAATTTTGTATTGTTTAATGGACTTTTGATCTCAAATGATGTTCGTATGATCTCCATATATTTCATGATAATATATATTTTTCTCCTCCAGTTCTTACTACACAGGACCTAGGTGTACCGTAGGTCCAGATTCTTTCAGGTTCCATATTACTGAGTAATATTAATGCCTGCACAATCTGCAGAGATTTTATCGACAGATCTCCTGTATTCTCATTTCTGTAGCCGATTGTATTCTGTTGTATTGTTTTTGTTGCAGAGCTTGTTTGAATGAATATAAAGCATCCTGAAGGTTCCCTGTCATCTGTTGACAGATTCCTAACATCTGCCACGTTATGTCTCTGTGAAATAAAGGTATATGTTGTCCCTGATCATAGTGAACTAGAGACTTTAGGGCATCTAGAGATATTTTTGATTTTCTTTGGTCTACATGTCTGTAACATAAGACCTCGAGCATGAGTAATAATATGAAGTGAGGTATTTCTAAGTAGTGCCAATTCTTTTGTAGACTGTAGCTCTGGAATCAATTCACTTATATACTGGACAAAAAAATGTTAAGGATCATCAAATTAAATATGTTTTACAAAAACTGTATCATATAGAAAACAGAATGCAGTTTTAATTTTAGTATATATTTTATATTTAAAAAGTGAAAATTAAACATTGGATGTGATAAAGGATCACTTCATTATAAATAGGGATCTGACTTATAGGACCGGGTTGGTTTTTTTCTCTACAAAAAGCTTGTCGATTTCCGTTCCAGTAAATGACATTAGGCTGAATACATATAACAATTTGTTTTACCTAAATCTTTATGTCAGTGTGTAGAGGTAGGAGGAACCCTTTCATTAATTTTCAGAGTTTGTTATATCCAAATGTAATAAATAATATTTGTCTTTACTGCTTTTGTGCATAAAGGTAATGTCTACTGTCTCTGAAATTCTATTCTTAATGTCTAGGCTATTTATCCGTGGATATAATAAAACATGTCAATAATGTGTGCAAATTATATAGGCCTAAATGAAATCCCAGGGAGTGCATTTACTGAAATACGTAGCTAAAATCAATGTGATTAAATTCTAAGAAATATATACAATTGAAATTCATCGCAGCTCAATGCTGCCAAGAATACCTGTACTGAGTAACACATAGTGAGTTATTCTTGTCCTCGGAGAAAGAGTGCTGAGGTTCGTTCCGCCTGACTGACAACTGTACATTGGATTGTTACGATTTCATATCTCTTTAGTCTTATATCAAGAATGGGCATGCATAAAGGATAGATAATTGAAGGAAAAATACACAGGTCTATAAAAAATATTAAAATAGTCTATGAGAAAACGAAATTTAAAACTTTAAAAGTGTTGTACCAGGTGAATACTGAGCTAATCTGACTATAAGAATGATCTGCATAAATTTAAAGCAGATTATGAAAATCAGGTTTCCTTATTTTTTATAGGTTTTTAGCTCACCTGAGCCAAAGGCTCAAGTGAGCTTTTCTGATCAAAATTTGTCCGTTGTCTGTCGTCGTCGTCGTCGTCGTTGTCGTCGTTGTTGTAAACTTTTCACATTTTCATCTTCTTCTCAAGAACCACTGGGCCAATTTCAACCAAACTTGCTACAAAGTATCCTTGGGTAAAGGGGATTCAAGTTTGTTCAAATGAAGGGCCACGCC